CATGACCTGAGCCGAAGGCAGACGCTTAACTGACTGAGCCACCCAGGCGCCCCCACATTAATTTTTTAAAGTTCATTTGATACTAGAAAACAGGCCTAATACTGGGGTGCCTGGGTGGCTCAGTCAGTTAAGCATCTGCCTTTGGCTCAGGTCATGATCCCAGGGTCCTGCGATCAAGCCCCATGTTGGGCTCCCTGCTCAGCAGGGAGTCTGCTTTTCCTCTCCCTCTGCCCTTCTCTCCTGCTCATGCTCTCTCTCAAATAAATTTTAAAAATCTTCAAAAAAAAGAAAATAGGCCTAATACTCAAATTTTTAAGTTTTAATACCTTATCCTTAAATTCTCTTAGATTTTCTAAGTAAATAAAATAGTCATTATCTGCAAACACAGTTTTATCTCTTCGTCTCAGTTATTTTGCCACTTAATAAAAAAATCTTATTGTTTAGGACTTCCAGTACAATACTGACAAGAAGCATCTCTGTTCTTAAATTCCTTGAAATTCTAGGTACAATATTTTAAAATTATTTTGTTAGGAAAAGAGTGGAAGATATTAATAGTTGCTATATCTGGGTAATAGTATATGAATGAACTTTTATTTTCTTTTTCATACTTTCTGTATTTTCCAGATTTTCTGTCATGAACTTGCATTCCTTTTAAAATGAAAATCAAATTTTATTTTTAAATTGTCTAGAAATACTGTTTCACCTCTTGAAATATAATTCTGATAAACACAGAAGCAGAAGGCTTTGATCATTCAATAAAAATAAAATACTGTATTTGTATCTCTGTATCTGTCCTTGTGTGACCTTAAATTGAATATGAACAAAATTTTGACCAAGAAGCTTAAGAAATAGAACTGTGGTATTCATACAGAGCAGTGCCTGCCTCAATATGATCAGAGCTCTCTGACCTTTAAGCTCCACCTTCTGCCCATTTCAGTCCTTCTTCTCAGGCAGAAAGCACTGGCAGAAAGAGCTAGACATCTATGGAATCTTTGATGGTTGCTGGTTGGAAGAATTCCTGCCAACCTTCTGTTACAGTCACTCTGCCTGAGACAGGGAGTAGACCCTTAACAGCTCCCTTCATCCTTCCGTGCTCAGGGTCTGACCAGGACTTGAAGGACCATATCCTTTTAGAAGTCTACAGGGGAAGGTTTGGGGAGAAAAGTAGAATTGGAGTTGGCTCTCAAAGTGGAGAAGAAAGCATCCAAGTTGTGGGAACAATTTATCATCCACAGAAAGCATGATCAAGGACTAAGTGCAAATTTAAAGTAGTGAGACGCAGTATTTCCCCTTGAATCTAACTGCTAATTTCCCTTGTGCCAAAGTTTACCATACGAAGACAGATTTCCAGTGTATTCCTTTTCTCTTTATGTGACAGTAAATTTGGAGTTACTTAGTAAAGTTTATCCCTTAGCATTGCAGCCTACAATACATATGCCTTAGGGATTTTTGTATGTACATCAGACTTCCCTGGAGGGAGCCTCTTCCTTTATATTCTTTTTTATTTATCACATTCATTTTGATCTTATATCTTTTCAGTGTTTTCCCGTTTTAAAACGGACATGTTGTGCTGCCTAGTGTGCATTGCTTATTGTTTAAAATGATTTATTCTTGCTAAATTTGGTGGTGGTTTTAATTGTTCTTGAGGAATTCTGTTTATCCATTCAAAAGGCAGGTCTCTGAACTGTTCTTTGTTGAAGATATTTGAAATTAGAAATGTTACCCTAGAAGAGATTATTCTAGTAGTCCTTGAAGTTTCCTGTGTGTTCAAGTAACTTTAGGAAAGGTTGAGAAGGGTGGCCTGTCCTCTGCCTACTGAATCAGATATCCTGGAAGGCAGGACTCAGGCAATTATTTGTATGTTTGAGCTCACTAGGCGTTTCTGACATATAACAGAGTTTGAGAACCACTGCAACATTCACCTCAAGCTATTTGCAGTTTTATTTTAAATAACTTAAATTATAGTGTTTTGTGAATTTGTTCCAAAATAACCACTATCAACATCACTTAAATGATACCATAGTTATTTATATACTTGAGGTGACATTTATAGATTTGAAAATATTTTTTAAATCTACATTAACAAAATTTATTCTAGAGTTACTATAATTTAAACAATTCTGATGCAGGAATGGATTAAAGGAGCAAAATAGAGTCTATGTATGTTCATACATATGACAATTTACAATGTTCTAAAGACTGCCTATTTAACCAATTGGATTATTAGATTATTTAAAAAAAATAGAGCTGGAGGAATAATGATTTCTTATACTAAAAGAGTCTATTACTACCAGATGACTCACAGATTTAAAACCATGAAAGTTCCAGAAAAAAGACACAGATGAATTATTTGTATAAACTTGGAATAGGAAGACCTTTCTAAGTGTGATAGAAAGTCGAAAGCCATAATAGAAAAGACTGAATTTGAGAAGATAAAAGTTAAATTTTCTATAGAGTTAAATAAGTGTTCTATAAAGTTAAATTTTCAATAAAAACAAATAGAAATAAAACCAAAACAAACAGTATAAAAATTTCCAACGGGGAAAATATTTGCCATACCTGAGACAGACAAAAGACTACTTTTAATTTCCTCAATCTATACATTGCTTAAAAGTTGCT